CATGCCCCAGGTTTCCAGCCCCCTCTTAGGAGTTGCCCCACTGAGTGCCCTTCCTTTTCCTTGTCAGTGTTCTCAAAGCTAAGCAGTAAGACAATTAACAACCCCTAATCAGCTCCTTCATTTCCTTGTATTGAGTTTGTAATAATAATTGCAGCTAACATTTCTCAAGCACTTACTATGTGCAAGGCTCTAGGCTAAGCAATTTACATGATAAAGCCTATCAAGTAGGTGAAAAAGTAAAAGCAGAATTGTGGTGTGTCTCTTTTGGGTAGAAAGGAAAGATAGGAATATACATGCATTTTGTTTTTATAGGCAAAGAGAAACTTTTTATTTATTTATTTATTTATTTATTTATTTATTTATTTATTTATTTTTACAAGCACTGGGTACAGTCAGAAGCGCGGGAGGGTGAGAGAATTCACCAGAGCCAGAGCGGGGAACAGAGCAGGCAGAAGGACCGAAGTACACTGCTGAGGGGAGCAGCGGGCAGCAGGAGAGGTCCGCGCGCCATGTGGGACCCTCCTCCCGTGGCCGGGGAGCAGCCGGGGATCGAACCGGCGCTGCAGAGGCTGCGGGCAGCCTCGCAACCCAGCGCTCAACCGCTGCGCCACCGGGGAGGCCCCCAAAGAGAAACTCTTCAAGGATATTTAGTTCTCTGTGTGCTTGGCTCGGGTTGGCTAGAGAGAATATTCAAAAGAAAGCAGAAACCAAGTTGGACATACATAAGAAGTCAGCAGCAGTAGCCAGTGAGAGTTTGGGAAGTGGGCAAATAGGGACAGGGAGAAGATACTATTTAAAACATCTGTTATTTGAACCATGTGATTGTATTACTTATTCAAAAATTAAATTTATCTGGCCCTTTTCCAGTGTTCAAGATGTCGAAGAGAGGGCGTGGTGGGTCCTCTGGTGGGAAGCTCCGGATTTCCTTGGCTCCTGTAGAAGCCGTGATTGTCTAGGCTGACAGCACAAGAGTCAAGTAGCTGTGAAGGGGATAAAGGGATGACTGACTCCCCGCCACTGGTGTGGATGACCTGGTGATGGCCACAGTCAAGAAGGGCAAACCAGAGCTCAGAGAAGAGGGACATCCCAGTGGTGGTTTGACAATAAAAACTGTATCACAGAAAAGATGGTATATGTCCTGTCTTTTTTTTTTCAAGATTTTATTTATTTATTTTGATGCAGAAGAACTGGAGTGTGGGCCAGAGATGTAGGGGGGGGGGTGGGGCGCGGGGGCATGAGAGGATTCACGAGAGACAGTGGGGATCAGAACAGACAGATCCACTGAAATCCACTACTGAGGGGAGCAGCAGGTAAGTCTCCTGTGCCATGTGGATCAGCTCCCTGGCCGGGGATTGAACTCAGGCAGTAGCAGTGATAGCACTGAGACAACCCCTAGGCTGACCAGGGAGGCCCGGCGCATGTCTTTACTTTGAAGATGTGGTGGGGTCATAGTGAACAATACAGGTGAGAGGGAAGGTCCGGCCATCACTGGATCAGTTGCAAAAGAACATACAGATGTATGGCCCAGGATTGCATCCAATGCAGGTGGCATTGCATGATTCTTAAGTGTATTTGTAAAAAAGAATTCATTAAAAAATATTATTAGCCCCCAGAAAAAAAATTAAATTTATAAAAGTCTTTTTAAATCCAAGGGATCAGGAGGCAGCACTTGCATGTAGTTGAGAATCAGGTAGGGAGCAGAGCTTCCTTCAGGTGCAACTGAGCCTACAACAGGACTCCAGGAGACTAATCACAGACTCCCATTGGCTAGAACCCCAGCGGCTTCAAATCCAGATCAGCCCCCACCGAGTTTCAGACTCCATGAGACCCAGCCTCCCTCCTCTTTCTGGTCATGGACTTGCTGAGATTCTCCCTCCTTGTTGCTTCACACACATCCTCTAAGAAACATGGACTTATCTAGCACGAGCAGCTACAGGCCTTTCCTGCGCTTGGCCAGGAGGGGGCTGGGTTTGCGGTCCCGTCTTCAGCGGGAGCAGAGCACAGGTGCTCCTGAAGGCACCACTTGTCCTCTAGTAGGGCCAGGGAGGCCTCGTATATTCGGGGGCTGGCATATCATCCCCACCATGCCTTGAGAGCTGTCCCCAGGACATCGTCCTGCTGTGCATTATGTGTCTGTGGGGGGAGGGGGGATTTCCAAGGTGGAGTGTGGGCAAGGAAGGTTATCCATGGACTAGATGGAGAGAAAAGCAAGCTTATTCCTTGGGTTTCACAGCATCAGGAAATCCCAGGAATAAGCCTGGATCTGAGAGGTGCTCAGGGTGTGAGTAATAAGAAGTCCAACTTGGTCTCTGCTTTCTTTCGAATATTCTCTCTAGCCAACCCGTGCCAAGCACACAAAGAGAACTAAATATGGAGAATGCAGTGGATTGTGATCTCGCCCAACTTCCATCCTGACCTCCTTGGCCGTGCCTCAGGCACACTAGAACCCAGACTCTCTCACCTCTCCTCCCTAGAAGCAGCCCCACCTCTGGTCAAACCCCACAGCTCCCCCAGAGACAGCAGAAAGAAGCTGAGGAACATGGATGAGACTTCACTGGTGCTTTATTACACAGAAGAATCCAAATATTTACGTCTTGACAATTTTTATACTTCACACAGCTGGAGAGGGCATGGGCTGGGACCCAGAAGTGATGGAGGGGGTAGGAGGTGGGAGAACTTGCTCCGCCAGAGCAGAGGTAGTTAGAGGAGATTGTTCCAGAAAGAATCAAGGGCTCTAGCTACCTCTCTCATCCTCACTTACTCAGGCCTACCCATGCTCAACTCTTCCTTCTTTACCTCCCTCAATCCTAAAACCTTTTATTCTTCCTGAAAAGGGAAATTTAGGAAGGAGGTTGGAAACTAGCATGGGGAGAGGAGACAAAGAGAAGGCCCAATTAGTGGCTCTATTAATTCAGTCTTTGGATCTCAGCACTAAATTAAGAGTTTTCCTCTTGGTGTGGACAGAGTTGTTTTCAAAATGATGGCTCACTCTAGGAAGTTCTCCACAAGCCGGTCTGAGAGGACATTGTGGTTGGCATGCGTGCCAAGGCTCACCCATCAAGGGGACACACACCAGGTCAGCAGTTCCCAACCTTCCCACCCCAATGCCTCATGGACGGATTCTTCCCATCTTGGAAGATTTTGTCCACCAAATAAAATTTACCTGCATCAAATGATTTGGATTTTGCTTGTGTGTTTAGTCAGAAACTTACATACTCATCACAACTGTGTGTTGACCATGGCGGAGCTATCCGCAGGAGTAGTACCCTGACTTATAAGATAGTGAGTCAAAACCAAGAAACTTTACATCACCGTCTTATTTTGGGTAAATATATAGCATCTATCTACTAGGCTGTTCAAACAATGAAGATAGTTCATGGTAAACACCCCCACTGTTTCCCCCACCCCTACCTCTGATCATAAGTTCTAGTCTTGGCAGGTGCCCAGACTTTTATTTTTTTTTTTAAGATTTATTTATTTATGCATACAAGAACTGGGGTAGAGGCCAGAGTTGTGAGGGGGTGAAAGGATTCACCAGAGAGAGATTGGGGAACTGAACAGATGGATTGATTGAAATACACTGCTGAGGAGAGCAGTGGGCCAGTCAGGAGAGGTCTGCTGCTCCATGTGGGTAGCTCCCTGGCCAGGGATCAAACTTGCGCTGCAGTGATTACGGCTAACTTCAGAGGTTGCGTCTTAACACCTTGCGCCACCAGGGAGGCCCATGCCCAGATTTTTGATGATAAGATGACCACCTTAGAGCTTTTAGCCAAAAACTACTGACCTCCTTCTCATGGAAGAAACACCTGCCGGGAAAAACTCCCACAACACCTAAACTAATACGTGCCTGTTCCACTCCACACGCCACTTGGTCACTTCCCCCACCCCAAAGGGAGACAAAGATCTCTCCCTGAGCAACAGGAGCAGCTATGAGGTGGAAATTGGGTGAGTTCCTGAAAGTCAAGGCTCCCCAAATCACACTGGCTTTGTCCTCTCTGGGGCATCTGAGAAGATTCCTTTCCACAAAGATTTATCGATTCTCAGTAACCAAAGTAGAGGACACTTCTTCCACTAAGTACTCTAGGCCAGCCCCAGAAATAGGGGCACCAGGGCTCTCAAATAGCCAATTTATGAATAAATCCATCATTATGAGTGTGTACTCTGAGGCTGACTTGTGTGAGGACCCCAAGTTTCTTCTGTGATTATTTCGGAGCCTGTAGGAATTCAGGCTACTCAGCTGGTCAAAGGAGATTTGGAAATGTGGCAAGTTCTACCCATGGTCTCTGCCAGCCTACACAGCCTTGTCGACCTTTCAGAATTCCCACTAGTCACTGGAGGCATCAGGGAGATAGACAGAAGGGGTAATTCTGCACACTATCTTCCCCACTGCTACCCTGGGAATGACAGGGCCCACCTCAGCCTTCTGCACTGGGGCAGGGAGAAAGGGACCCCACATGTCCTAAAAAAAGGAGTTCCTCACAGTTGTCTCGACAGAGGAACCCCTCTGTTAGGGCCTGGCTGAGGACAGAACAAGATTCAGGAGGAAGACCGTGTTCCATTCAAGCCACATTCCATCTTCCTTCCTATATTGATGTAACTGATGTTGGGGTGCCCTGGGACAAGTCTCACCCTTTTTTCTGATCTTTGGATGATCTTTTTATACTTGCAGGAATCACCACTGATGTCTGCAAGAATGTCCCAGCTCTCACCTCTCATGCTGAGATTGAGTGGGGGGTGTGGGGTGTGTAGTGTGTGTGCACGCGTATGTGCGTGCATGTGTGTGTGTGTGTGTGTGTTTGGGTGGGGAGAGAGCACTCTGGAATACTCAGAGGCATTTGGTAAACCCTAAGAGAGGAAGGTTATGAAGGATGAGGCAGAGGGTCATGGTCTATTTGGACCCCCAGGACTCATAGATTCCGATGATGCTTCCTACAGCCCTTTTTTCTTTGATCTTAAACCTGCTCAACCCTGCCCCACCCCACCCCACCCCGCCACACACACACACACACACACACACACACACACGCACATGTACACGCGCATGCACACATGCACGCAAGCACCCCAGCCACTGTCTTTTCAGTTTTCTCTTCTCCCTTAACAGGGGAGATGCCCAGAATGAACTCTGAGGAAGGCCAACAGGAGACCAGGCCAAGAAGAGAGCCCTGGGGGTGGCTGGGGGAGAGAGGACCCCAGGGGACCAGGCCGTGCTGCCACGGATCACACTGTTGAGTTTTGGTTGTATTTATTTTACAAGCAGCCATCATTCACGAAGGGGGAAGAGAGAAAAGGGGAGAGATGGGAAGAGAAAACGGGGAAGGACATTTATAAGTGTGAGGCAAAGGCTGAGCCAGAGGGCTGGAAGCCCCTGCCCACTGACAGGCCCCCGTCCGCTGACATGGCTCCCTCTGCCCTCAGCAGCAGTTCTCCATCCATGGAGGGTTGCAGGTTCCCAAAGTGGGATCCCTCTGGCTCTGCAAAATGACTGCCCTCCCGCCTAGGACCCCCAGGCTGCTGACAGATGAGGGTCACTGAGGGGAAGCCATAGGTCTCCAGCCCAGGGGGCTGCCCAGCTTCAGAAGCTTCCAGAATGAGATCCACATCAGAGAAGGCCACCAGGGCCTGGGTGGAATCGCAGGAGCTCTTCTCCAGCTCGCCGGCAGCAGTGTAGGCTAAGGGCCCCGGTGCTCGTGTGCAGGGCCAAAGCCGCCGCAGGTCGTCCCGGAAGTGGGGGTTGAAGAGCAGGTAGAGCAGCGGGTTGAGGCAGGCAGGCAGGGGCAGCACAACCAGCAGGACAGACTTGACCGCCTCGGGGGTGACAGGGAAGAGGCCCAGCATGGACGCGAAGCTGAGGAAGGCCACGGGGCAGTAGAGGAGCCCATCCGCAAAGATGAGCCAGGCCACATGCCTGACCATGGCACAGTCCCACACGGCCTCAAAGTCGCCCCGCGGCAGGTCGCAGTAGAGTTTGATGTAGGCACCAGTCACTACCAGGAAGCAGAAGGAGTTCATCATCACCAAGGCCACGGCGAAGCCCAGGGCTGCTGGTTGGCCCTCAGGCGGGGCATAAGGCAGACAGAGTGGGGAGGCCCCGTACTCCCCCACAGAGGTGAGGGGCAGGGCTGCAGCAAGACCGGCCAGTGTCAAGCAGCCCAGGGCCCCTGCTCGAACGCTGCCCAGGGAGGGGGCCTTCCCATAGGCCCGGACGCAGGAGACGGAGACACTGCATTGCACAGCGGCCAGAGTGAGCAGCAGCACGGAGGCCTCAGACCCAAGCACCGCCAGGAAACCTGTGGCCCGGCAGCCCAGCCCCATCTCCCAGTGGGCTCCGTACTGGGCGAACTGGCCAAAAGTCAAGGCGTCCACTGACGCTAGGAGGCCACAGGAAATGCCGGTCAAGGTGTTGGCACCTGCGATTGCACCTACCACAAACTTGACCGGGGACAGGGGGCCAGGCCCCCCAGCAAACACGCTCAGCAGCACCAGCCCATTACAGAGCACAGAGAGCAGCACGATGGCCCACACAGCCAGGCGGATACCCCAGCTCTCGAAGAGGTGCTCACAGGGCTTGAAAGGGCCTGTAGGAAAGAGGATCAGACATTACTCCCAGGCGAGAGGTGGCATGATTCGGGGTTCTGGGAACAAGGCCAGGCAGACAGGCATGGGTGCTGCTCTCAGAGAACTGCTGGTCTGAGGGGGGCTGACATGGTCTCTGAGAATTCCCAGGTGGAGTTAGGGAAAGGAACAGTGCGGACAGACTAGCTATTCTTCTACAGAGCTGCAAATGGAACACACAAAGAAAATGCAAGCGTATAAATATACATAGTATACAAACTAATACCGTGCAAACACAGGCATCGAAGAAATGTTAAGCAAAGCAGTCTCTTCAAAGGAACAGCATTTGAAAGAAAGGAAGGCTAGCATAAGAGGTAAAGAAGGCATCACAAGTGGGCATATGTGGGGTACAGACAGAGGGATGATGGGGTGCCAAGAGCATTACTACTCTACAACCCAAGTCAGCACCCAGTGATTGCCTAAAATTCCCACTGCAGGTGTGCCCTGGCCAGGTGTCACACCAGGCCCAGGCGCCCTGGGTGAGGAAGTAGGCCACATTTAATATTCACAGAGCCCATCAGTGTTTGGAGGCAAAAGATGCAGTGTAAATCAAGAAAGAGATGACTTCTGGGGCTTTCCACCTGGTTCCACATGTCACGGGCAACATCTGGCATTCTTCTCTGTTCTTTCCTTAAATCACTTTGTATCTTTGGACATCTACTTCATTACTTTTGACTTCAGATTCCCTTCATCGTGTACTGCGAGGTAGCTTTAGGTAGGGAATTGGAGAGGCTTTTGGGGAGCTATTTTTAAAAAATTTTTTTCTGATTACCAAATAATAAATGATTATATTAGAAACTTTGGAAAATATAAATGGAAAAATCAAAACTGCATGTGAGCCCACCTCTCAGAGAGAATTCATCATTTTGGTATGTTTCCTTCCAGATTAAAAAAAAAAAAATACACATATATGTATAGAATTTTAAGCTAAATTGGGATATTGTGATACATGACATTTTATTCTCTATTTTAAGTTAAAGTACAATTATGCAAACACTCCCATATCCTTGTCTTCCTCAAAAACGTGTTTTCAGTGACTGCAATAAATACTCCACCATATGGATGAACCATAATTTATCTGACTATTATAAAGGAAATTCCAACTGGACTTCGTCTTGTGGAACTTCCTTTTTTACCTCATCACTGCTGATTGTAGGTTTTCTAAGGTGAAACTTCGGTGATGGTATGAAGAAAGCGGGTTTCTGAGTCAGAAAAGACACATATGCTTTCCCAGGGCCTCTTGCCCCAGGCGGGCACTAGAGGGCAAGCTGGAGTCGCCCAGCATGGAGGGCAGGTGTTGGGCAGCTGAGGCCAGTGCTATTTGCGCCTTAGAGAGGGCAAGGGGAGAAGGCCAACAGCCCAGAGCCAAAGAAATGGAAAATTGGGAAATGAGGTGGGTGAAATAGAAGAAGCACACTGTCCACTGCTTCCTGTTCATTCTGAATAGTTCCTGTCCTGGCCTCAGTGGAGGGCTCTGCCCTCTGGAGGGGGGGTAGGGCTGACAGCATTTTACACCCAGGGGAAGGTATTTCTCTCTAAACATTTTAGGTTGAATTGCACCAAAGAGAAAAAGAATTTCCTTTCTTTCTTTACAGCAAGATGGATTTAAAATAGACTCTAAAGGAGGCTTCCTTGGCTGTTGGTGGTAGTGTATGATGTTATTCAGGGAGACTGTGGAACTTTTCCCCTCTGGTGATGCTTAAGGAGAAGCTGAAATCCTCCTGGACTGAAGCAGACAGGGATGGAGGAGGTGATCTTTCACAGTTCCACTGGGCTCTAGGATTCCGTGGTGAGGGTCTTAAGTGGAGGGAGTATTCACAACAGCCCCTACCATTCAATGGGCTCAATGCATCCTATCTTACTCTCTCCGCAATGAAAGAATTTTCTCCTGGGTGTGTACCAGAGAGTATACTGACTGATCATGTAAAGATTGCTTTGACTCCCTACCCCATACCTAGCCCTTGCTACATCTCTTCCCAAGTAGCCACACAGGGAAAGGATTCCAGATTCTTCCCTAGAAATTACCAGAAGAGGCTGCCCTTCCCAGCAGATTGGGTCTGAGCAAAGCCTGGATCTACACATGGACCCGTAGATGCCAGGTTATACTGGCATCTCACTACCTAGATGTTGCACTCCAGCTCCCTCCCCCATCCTCTAGCACCCATCTCACCTGGAATTGGGCTGCACTGGACACTGGGGTGTGGCTTTGAGTCCTCCATCTCTAACTGGAGCTCTTCCAGGTCCAGGTCATCTGGGAAGGGAGTTAAGAAAGGGGCTTAGACACCTACCCCTTTAAAATTTGTCCCAACGTGCCCCGCTCAATGTTGGTCGTCGCAGAGCCTTGGCATCAGCTTCTATCCTGGGTTGTAAACATTTGGTCAGCTCCCCTTTACCCACATTGGATTATCTGCATTGTTGGCTCTTTACAGCAAACATGTTCCCTGAGACTTGTTTTCCTACTCCTCGCATGCTCTGTGACCCCTGCGGGCCTCAGTGCACCCATACCACTGAGAGTCAGGCTGGAGGCGGCCTGAACCCTGGTTGTTAGTAATCACGTGGTTTCCCACCCTGGCCAGGCTGCCACTTTAATTCCAAGTCCGACTGTGAATGCCACACTCTAATCAGGACACCTTTTTAAGATTTGTGTGGGGAGCAGTCAAAGTAACAGGGGAGGAAGCATCTAACTTGGAGAAGGCAAGAATAAGTGGGATACAGTGGCCATCCCAGAGATCTGAGGCCCTGTTAGGCATCAAGGAATTACAAGTTGTAATTGTCCCAGAGGGTGCAGCTGGGATCAACAGATGGATTGTAAAAGCAGGCAAATTACAATGCAGATGGAGTAAGTTCCCACAACTAGGGGTGTCTAACCCAAAGGAATGGGGTCCACATGCTGAAAGCAACCCTGACTGTATGCTAGGTATGAGGCAAGTGTGGAGGAATCCAGTGACCAGCAAGATGGGCCCTGCTTGCAAGGAGCTTAGGGAGACGAGTGAGGATGCAAACCATCAGGACACAGTGAGCTCCATCAGCTAATGAATTCACCCAACAGCCAGGGCGCCAGGCACCGTGCCCGCTAGTCTGCATCTGCACGGCAGCTGCATGAGGCAGAGCCCACGTTGCCATCACAGGGACTTAAGATGAGGAAACTCAAGAGCTGGCCCTCAATCTCACAGCCGGTGAATGACCCACAGGACTCAAGCCCAGGTGTCTCTTGACTACAGGGCCAAGATGGTTTGACCATTCTGCTGTTCCAGGCCAGGGGCTGATGTGGGAGTGAGGGGTGGCAGGGGCAGGAGCGTCACAGATGATTAGCCAGGTATGATCCGTCATTGGTGATCTGAGGCAGAAATTCCCTCATGTGAGACAGGGTCAGCTCTTTTACTCTGAGCTAGAGGTTTGACTAAATCTTTAAGGAGCCTCCGACTCTAAGCCGGCTTTGAGATTCTCTTAGAGAAAACAGAATCATAAAGCTAAATCCACTGGTAAAGAAATGCTGTAAATGTTGGCATCAGATAGGATTCCAAGTCTTGCGATACTTCTAAAACTAAGGCCTGTGAACTCCAGGAGGGTGAGGGACATCTCAGGGGTTCATAAATTCTGTAAGAATTTAAAAATGAGGGCCTCCCTGGTGGCGCAAGGTGTTAAATCTCAGCACTATGAAGCTGTGGGCAGCCACTGCAGCACCAGGGAGCTGACCCACATAGGGCAGCAGACCTCTCCTGTCTCGCCCACTGCTCCCCTCAGCAGTGTATTTCAGTAGATCAGCCTTTTCTGCTCCCCACTTTGCCTCTGGTGGATCTGCTCACCCTCCCACCTCTGGCCTGCACCCCAGTTCTTGTGTGCATAAATAAATAAGTCTTTAAGAAAAAGGAATTTCAAAATGAGAATCAAGTACATTTTATAACTTATAAAGACAAAATTCTCTCTTGCAGTGACAATTCAACACTAAAAGACTTTAAGAATAATATTTTACTTTCTCGGGTCCTTCCCAGTGGTGCAGGGGTTTGAGCGCAGCGCTGTGAAGCTGTCCACAGCCTCTGCAGCACAGGTTCGATTCCCAGCCGGCCAGGGAGATTCCCACATGGCACGGCAGACCTCTCCTGTCTCACCCGCTGCTCCCCTCAGCAGTACCTTCAGTCCGTCTGCCTGTTCTGCTTCCTGCTCTGTCTCTGGTGAACCCTCTCACCATTCTGTGCCTCTGATCTGTATCCCAGTTCTTGTATAAAAATAAATCTTAAAAAAATTTTTTTTACTTTCACCAGTCAGACTAGGTAAGGTGTCAGAGGCCCTAAGGAATTGCCTGACAGGGAATTGCCTGTCTTTCAAGGGGGCGCCTGTACATTGTTCAGTTTTAAGGGCCCGCTCCCTGCAGGCCCTTCCTGCACCCGCACGGGCAGTGGGGAGGTGACTGTCTGTGCTCCCTGTGTGAATCCTTCCTCCCCACTGAAAGGGTAAACACTGGCAACAGGAAGTTTTCCCGGGAGGCAGCAAGGCTCTGTGGAGCTGCCCAGGCCCAGACACCATCAGGGCGAACCAGAGGCCAAGGTGCAATCACGGAGCCCTGGCATTTACGCCCTCTTTACCTTTCATTCGTTGCCCACCCTGTTCTCCAGAATGGAGCTCAGTAATTCTTTGAAATCAAAATGCATGAATGAAACAGGCAGGGAGGGGGAGGGGGAGTGGATTGGGAGAAGTGGTGAAACCATGGACTCTGTCTGAGGCTGGGAAAGTCACAGCCAAGGTGTTAAGTAACCACTCTTCAAATGAAGAGGAAATCAAATCTGGCTGCAGCAGCAGCTCCTGGCTTTCCTTCTTGGTGCTCATTAGCTCCCACAGGAAGTGGGGGGGCCCTGCCCTAGCTCCCATTACTGGCGACAGGCAGCCCACGGTCTTGACACCCTGTGGTTCTCCAAGACCTAAGCCGGTGGAAAGTTTCACCTTGAAGGAAAGTTTCCATTCCTCCTTCCAGTCCCCTGAGGGAGTGTACAGCAGACATCCGGAACATTCCCTAGGGGCAGTTGTCTGCAGGCCCAGAGCCAGACTTGCTGCTGGGCATCTTCTCCTGGGGTCCTCACCACCTCCCTCGGAGGTTCACCGGGAAGGAGGCACCCGGAGACCTCCTGAGTGCCTGCCCAACATTTGGCCTCCATAAGCAGTGTCCTGGACCACATAACTACACCCCCCTTCACACGGACATCAGAAGGCACCCAGCTCTCCGTGGTAACCAAGGCAGAAAGAGCAGTAAACATACATTACCATTTATGGAATCTTTTAATCCTCCTCACCAGCCTCCGAGATCTGTAGTGCTGTTCTCGTGTTGTAGATAAGGGCACGGAGGCTCAGTGAGGTTAAGTAATCCGTCTAAAACAACCCAACTGGTGGATGGTGTGGCCAGGTATGGAATCTCGAGGTGTTTTCCTTACATGTTTAGATTTGGTTTTTCTGTTTAGCTTCCCCATTGGTGTATTATTAGAAGTAGTTAGAGATTGGAAAAGAAACGTAAAATCAGGGGGCCCTTTTCTCTCCCTCCTAATTCTGTTTGGGTTCTGTATCATGGGACCATTTACCTAAGCACCAATTAGTAGACGACCCCTCAGAACCCTCTTGACCTGCTTCCAACCTTTACAGTTTACCCCCAGCTTTTCCAGAAACAGAGACGGGTCTAGCCCACATCCTGTGCTGGGCTGGCCCTTCTCAGCTCCTGGAGGATTCTGAAATCTCGCGTTCAGACTCATCAGGACAAACTCAGGATTAATCCCTATGCTGTTCCTAGGGGCTCTGGGACATAAAGAGAGAGGACTTTCTTTTTTCTGGAAGCAGTTTAATTAATCATTTAAGTCAATCCTTCTTGACTCAGGTTGATTAGAAAATGGATCTTTCTCCCCGAGAATTCTCTGAAGTGAAAGGGCCCATGTGGCAAGGTGGCAGCCAAGGGGAAGAACCTTCTCACCACAGGGTAAGGTCTCCCGTGAGGCTCAAGTTCAAAGGGCTTGGGAAATAACAACATCATTACTCTCACTGTCATCTTTGTTATTTTTTTCCCAAGCACCTCTGGGTTATGGCCTTGGAAAGACAAAGTACAAACTGAGGTAGAGTTTCTTCTCAGGACATCAGCGGTCTCTCTCTGGGGCTCCGCTCCACGGCCACTGCCAGGTGCCCTCTCAGATTCCCCCAAGCCTCCTCTCTAACTTCCTCTCCACAGCCCCCACCTGCCCTGCCCAGGGCCCTTGTCACTCACAGTGGTTCTCAGCTTGGCCAGCAAGAAGACCCAGGGGCCTCTTTGAAGCCTCCTCGTCATCAAGGTGAAAGTCCTCAGCCTCCCACTGCCCAGAGGCCTTGAAGAAGCTGGCACAGACACCATAGGCGCAGCACTGGTAGGCATAGGGCACCTCCAGGATCCTGGGGGAGGCGGAGGGAGGAGAGTGTAGATGTACGGCCTTAGCAATGTTTGGAATCAGGCACTTAGCACCTGCCTCAGTTGCAGCAGCTTCCCAGGCTTTTTCTGCAAGGATCCTGCCACTTGGCTCCTGCCGCAGAAGGATCTGAGCAGAGTCTGGCCACATCATTCATCTTGAGAACTGAGATGGTAGGTGAACTTTCTGCCCATTGTCGAGGCAACTCAGCAGGCCCAAGCCTGCTCCTTCCACCCAGCAACTCTTAAATTTTAAACAGCGATTCTCCTAGTGACTTCTAACCTTTCCCTCAGTGAGCCCAGCTCCTGTCCCCCACCCTAGCCCTGAGCACATCAGGGTAGATTTTGTGTCTCCTGAGGGTGAGGGCCAATGCCCCGGGGCAGACGAGCTTGGGCCACACAGGTTGTGCCGCCGCCTCCACCGCTGCTACTTCTGCATGTTGGAGGCCTGGATGTCATTAGCACCAGGGACTGGCTGTGCGGCTTGTTTTCCACTCATCAGTGCCCTGGGCTCTGCCCTGATTCCAGGGCCCAGATGCCGCCCAAGTGAGGAGGACGGTCCGGGGTACACAGAATGGGGCAGGGACAAGGGTCTTCACCACATGGTCCTCACTCTGTCCTCTTGAGGAGTCTCAGAGTCCCCTAGGGGGGCACCTGGGGTGAGGGGGGATGATACGAAGAAACCGAGGAGGAAGGGAGGCACTCTCTTCCCTGTGACTCTCTCCCTGACCCTCATGGCCTCCCAGCTGCCCCTGCTATCCAGGTATGGGGGAAAGCCAGGCCCTCACCTGAGTTCTGGAAAACTGTCCTTGGAGAAAGCCTGAGACAGAGCCAGGTTCCCTTTGAGCTTCAGATGCTTCAGGCCCCCAAGTCCAGCGAGGGGCAATGTGGTCAGCTGGTTGTCTGTCAGGTCCCTAGGACAGTGGATGGTCAGGGTTATTGGCAGTCAGTGCGACTGCGGAGGGGCAGAGCTGTGCTGAGGGTGTGGCCAGTACGCCTGGGATGGAAGCTAGAGGAGAGGAGTAAAGGACAGATGAGCACAGAGAGAAGCGGGCAGGGAGGCTGCAGGAGGTGCGTGGTCAGGAGTTGCCGGCGGCACCGCCTGTCACGCACTCATCTGTTCATCAACTGGGCGCCAACTATATCCTAGGGCCGAGCTAGCCTCGTTCATAGGGAACAGAGCCCCTCAAGCACAGGTCCTGTGTCCAGGTCTGAGGCCCATCCAGGATCCCTGTCTATACTGCTAGGGGCTCTGCCTGTCGCTGCCCCCATTCTCCTGATACAAGACCCAAAGTCAGGGCTTGGACAGAGCATCATCGCCTACATGCAGGGATTCTGTCAGCTGCCCAGTTGGGCCGGGCTGGCTTGGTTGCGGAAGGTGAGAACATGCATGGTCTCCTACTGGAGACACCTTAGTGGGAGCCAGGGCTCCAAACCAAATACCACGACCACAGACTGTGCGTCGTGGAAACAGCCTGGCCTGGAAGGCAGGAAACCTGGCACGGTCTCCAGCTCCCTGTGTAACCAAGGGGAGCCACAAATCTGCCTGAGCTTCAATGTCCTCATCTTTCAAAGGGATAAAAATATCTACCCTACCTTTCTGGCGAGAGTAGAGCAAACAGGAGAGAGAAGATGGAGGTGAGAGTTTTGCAAGACTGAGGCCCAGAGCCCAGACAGCGGCAGACTGGGGAGGGGCTGCACGTCCTGGGGAGGCCTGAGATCTGGCCCTTTGCTTTGAGCCAGTTTCTCCCCCTGGGCCTGTGAGGCCTCACCTGTGAAGTGAGGGTGGGGCTAGATGGTCTCTGGATCAAGACTGGAGCTGGTCCATAAACACTTCTTGTGTTCATCTAAAGGGGCCTTTTGATGGATGGATGTGCCTTTACCACACATAGGTTGGTAAGCAGCCTGGCCGGCGGTCAGTTCCCCTTTGGGTGAGAGCTCTTGTGCAGTGCACAACCTGTACCACAGTCTGTGGCAGCCCCATCAGAGGCCCTTTCCTGCTCTGACATAACGACTATTCAGTCAGCACTGTGTGCTCCCTGCTTCTACCTATATAATTTAGAGGAACTGCAATCCCTGTTGCCCTGAGGAATGGCAGCCCTCTGAGTGATGCTCATGCAGGGAAGGAGGTTCAGGCCCAAGCAGCTCCTTATCAGTGTGGTGGGGAGGGGCCAGGCAGGGGCACCGGGAGGACTGAGGCTGCCAGAATGTTGCAGAACATTAGCAGATGATGTTCCAGAGCCTACAGGAGGTAGGCTCTGTTTATCAGACCCCACAGTCTGTCAAATGGACTGGCAGAATGATTGATTAGTTTGGAGGCTCTCTCTAGGGATGCGTGGCCAAATATTTAGGCATGGCCCCACCCTGGGGGTGTCCCCCTGGCCAGCCCATGTGGTCTCTAGACTTCAGGAGGAAGGTACGGTGGACACTTACAGCTTCACCAGAGAACGCAGGGTCGTGAAGGCCTCAGGGTGGATGGACCGGATGGCATTCCAGCTCAGGTCCCTACAGGCAGAGAGGGTGTGACAAGAGGGGACTCTTCGCTCCCACCATGGGTTCTCCCTTATCTACCTCCCCCACCTGAGCTACTTCAGGTAGCAGTGACCTCAGCCTTTTGGGGACGGTAGCTGCTGTCTGGCTCCCTACCTCCCTGTGGCCCCAGGAACAGGATGGCAGCCTGACTCCAGTGCTTCATGGCCCTTGGGTATCAACTGGAGAAGCAGCTTGGGAAGCCACCTGGATTGGGGGGGGGCCTACCCCGCCCCTCCCCCCACCCCACCCCCGTGTGTGTGATGGGGGCAGTATGGAGCAGGGAGGTGCTCTACACCTAAATGGGTACTGTGAGCATAAGCAGGTCTGGGAGAGGGGCAGAATAGGCCCCACACAGGCCCACCCCTGGGTGCTGCAGGATACTCACAGGGCTCGCAGGGAACTCAGCTGGCTGAAGGTGTCAGCTCCGATTTCCCAGATGCGGTTGTGTTGGAGGCCGCTAGGGCAACAAGAGAGGTGGGATGAGCCAATAGGCTCAAAGCCTGGCTCTGCTCCACACCCCCTGTGCACTGGGAGGAAGAAAGGAGAGTCCCCCACTTCTCCTGGCACAGGAAGAAAGGGCCCAACCCGCGGAAGTCACCAGAATTAAAGGGAGCACAAGGGGATCCGGTTGCCTTGGGTAAGTGGGTCAGGAGACAAAGCCACAAACCATCCCTGTGGCCCAAATGGGAGTCAGTTTCCAGGGTTCCCACCGGGCCTGGATCCAGGCCCAGCCAACCTCCCCGATGGGTCCTTCAGACCCTAGTCCAGCAGCAAAGCACTGCCCAGCCCGGGGGCCGCCCAAGTGACTAGCTGAGCTGGGGTGCAGAGCCCAGAGCACTGTTCATCTCAACGGGAGATGGATCCAGGCCCTGGCAGTGCTGGAGACCCTCCTTCTTTTGGCCTCTAGACAGAGGACAGACCCTCACACCCCTACCCTGTCCTGGCCCCAAAAGGCATTGCCCTGCCTAAAAGCAGGGGGCGATCATGGGAGGCTCAGAGGCCCTGGTAACCTGGGAAAACAAGATCTGGGTGAACAGAGTTTAAGGGATCAAAAAGTGATTTTTTTCCTTGTGAAATTTGAATACCAACGTTCTTCTTCCATGCATGAGTGTGTGCACACATCTACACGCGTGTTTATGGGGGTGTGGAAACTGAGAGTGCATGCTCCAGAACACTTCCTGGGACTTTTCCCAGGCCTCTGCCCAGATCCCAGCTCCAGGCCCTGGGCTCAACGAGCTCAGAGAAGGGGGTCTGTCAGGCCCCTTCCCCTCAGCCTGCCAGAGTCAGGCTCACATACATTGGCCTCTCCGGGTCCCTAGCACTCACATTTCCTCCAACTTCTGACACCTGTGCAGGCTGGGCAGCTCCTCAATTTGATTATGAGACAGTTCCCTGGGGAGAGAGAAGAGCCAGAGCTGGGGTAAAGCTGGGCTGGGACAGGTAGCTCTGAGCCTTCCTGTCAGGCTGCCCTGGGCGGAGAGGAACCTGCAGGGCTATGGCTGCCCAGTGTCCCACAGCAGGGCCCTGGCTTCCTCAGTCTGACTTCCTCCGTCTGCTGTATCCCACCCCTCCCTGCAGGACCTCGATGGGGCTGACTGGGCGTCTTTCCAGTAAGGCTGTTTCATCCATGTGATGGCCTGGGAGGGTGCTGGGGGAAGGGAACAGGAAGTGAGAGGAGCATGGAGATGGGAGCAGCCGGCCAGGAGCTCAGCAGGCACTTCTGACAAGCCTGTCAGCACCAAGCTAAACGAGGGCGCCTCCGGTCACCAGGTGTGGAGTTCCCAGGGATGTTCAAAACTGGCCCCTAAGGGTCATCTGGCCCAACCCTTCACCTCACAGATGAGGAAACTGAGGCACAGAGGGGTCAGATCCTAAGGACACTGGAAGTCAGTGGCAAGGCTGGGTCCGGGAGCCCATGTTTGGGGTCCAGAGTGCAACCTGTGATTTGTGTCTCTCTACCCACCCCGAGCTGCAGGGCTACGGTCCATGGAAAGAACCTTGGATTCCAGTTAGAGTCAGGGGAGAAGAAAACTCCCTTTGACTTCAGAGGCCACGTCAAAGTTTCCAGGAGGATTCATTTCTGGTGGAAACTAACATCGTCTGAACGCCTGCTGTGAGAGAGGTGCTGTACAATTATTTTTTCAACCCTCACAAATTTATTCACAATATGCAGGTGAGGAATTCAGGCTTCTGAGACATTCAAGAACGAGTCCAGGGGCCTCCCTGGTGGCGCAAAGGGTTAAGCACCGCACTATGAAGCTATCCGCACCCTCTGCAGCACGAGTTCGATCCTTGGCCTGCCGGTTAGGGAGCAACCCACATGGTGCAGCAGACCTCTTCTGTCTCGCCCGCTGCTCCCTCAGCTGTGTATTTTGGTCAGTCTGTCTCTGGTGAATCCTCTCACCCTCCCGCACATCTGGCCTGTACCCCAGTTCTCGTATGCATGTATAAATAAATTTTTAGGGCCTCCCCTGGTGGTGCAGCGCTGTAAAGCTGTCTGCAGCCTCTGCAGCGCAGGTTTGATCCTGGCCAGCAAGATACCCCCATGGCGCTGCAGACCTCTCCTGTCTCGCCTGCTGCTCCCCTCTGCAGTGTATTTCAGTAGATCCACCTGTTTTGTTCCCCAATCTGTCTCTGGTGGATCCTCTCATCTCCCGCATCTCTGGCCTGTACCCCAGCTCTTGTATGCATAAATAAATAAATCTTAAAAAAAAAAAAGGAACGAGTCCAAATTCACACAGCCAGCAAGAGGCAGAGCTGGGCCCTACATCCAGATCTGACTCCAAAGACCGTTCATTGTGCCTTGGCCCTGACAGGCGGGCACAGCCTCTCCTCAGCAGGTTCTCAGCAGTGCCCTCTCCAAGAAGAGAGATGAGCCAGAGGGACAGAAGCAGGGGTGGCCTCTGCTGGGTCCTGGGGGCGAGGACACAATGCCAGAGCTGTAGGACGTTGTGAAGCACTCACAGGACTCGGAGCCTGGGCAGCTGCTGGCACATGCCTGGCGGGAGAAGCCGGATGCCTGCGCGGGTCAGGGTCCTGCAGGAGAAGGGAGATGGAGCTGGCACCAGGGCCAGGGCCCTGCCGTCCCCAATCACTGGCTTCCAGCTCTGGCCTGACACTGACATGGGAGCACAGAGATGACGAGAAGTGGGATGTACCGGGCAGGGTGCGGGACTGAGGGCTCAGAAAGGAAAGGCTGGTATCTGAGCACAGAGCTCCCCTGGGACTGAAGGAGGCTGTGGGTGGGGAGCAGACAGAGGGACTCAGCCCAGGGGCTTCTGCTCAGCAGACAGTCCCTGCCCTCCCAACCCACCCCACCCACCCATGGTGTCCCCACCCAACATCTCACAATGTTCTCCAGCAACAATAGATCTGTAGGAAAGGGCTAGAATCTTCTCTGCTCCAGGCTCTTCAAGAGGAGGGAGCCATGGGCAGGGTGTAGATAGAAAGAAAAAGCCGGGTCCAGCCAAGCCATGGGAACCAAGCTCAGAGTTTGCTCCCTGTGCCTTGGGGGAGGGAGAGGAGATGGGAAAAAGGGCAGGACCAGGGGCCGGGGGTGGGGATAGAGTTATGGGGGCAGGTTGGAGAACAGGATTGGCTTAGGGACAGGGTGTCTCAGGAAAGACCCGAGGACAAGGTCATCCTTGGGGAACGATGACTTCCCTCATGGAAAATTTTCTGGATGCCACTGCATCTTGGGGAAGACAATAGAGGCACAGAGGCGAGTCAGCCCCTGGTGCTGTGAATGCTCGGCTTGGCTAAGTGTGGCGGGACAGTTAACTCCACAACACTCACCCTGGGTGTTTGCCTGATTGTTCCATTCATTCTCTTAAAATGGATTGAGGGCCTACTATGTTCTGATGCCCCTCCCCCACCTGCAGTCTATAATAGAAAATAGGAGAAAGGCTTTGCTGGAATCAAGCTGCAGAAAGGCAATGAAAGTGGGTTTCCACAGCCCTCCTCTGCCTGCCTGGTCATCAGAGCACCCATGCTTGGGGTTAGGAGCTCTGACGTCATGCCTGAAGAATCAGAGCATAATAAAGAAGGGAAGAGCATCCTCCCATCCCCAAACTGCCTGCTACCCTCAGTCTTGCCTGCGGGAAGTGCCACCCCAGCAGGCCATGGCCCTGGGGCTAGGCCAGGTGACCTGTGCTTCAGGCTGAGCCAACAGCAGATGCAGGCCAGATAAGGGGTGACAAAGAACTTGGGCAGGGTTCTGGGGAAGGCAGGCAGAAGAGTTCCTGCGGGGAAGTTGGAGGTGCAAGGAGATAGATGAAATGGGAGCGCGAGTATCCACTCACAGGATCTCTAGGCTGGTGGTGCCTTTGAGGTCGGGGAACTCCTGAATGTCTGTGGCACCGTTCAGGGATCTGGAAACAGAGGTAACAGCTCTGAAGGGTGGTTCAGAGAATCAACATCTGGGCCCTCAGTCCTCAGCATCTCCCCTCACCCCCCACCATGAAACTCCACCTTTTGGAGAAATGTCATCCTTCCCCCCAGCTTCCCTCAGATCATGCCGGCTACCCAGGTGCTGTGCAGACAGCTTTGCTGAGCAGAGTCCAGCCAGGCGTCTTCCTAGTTGGCCCAGCCCCTCACCCAAACAGAGGTGGCTGCGGTGAGCAAGAAACACAGACAAGGAACGTGGGTCTTTAAAAAAGGCAACAGCTCAGATGCTTCTGAAAAGGCCCTTGGCTGCTAGGGTTTGCTTAGTAGAACCTGGAATTGGGTCTCCCCTAAATTTTCATCTGTTGGGGCTTTATCAGAACCTTTCATTTGTTCTCTGAAACTACTTTCAGCCAATGGCTTTCCCCCTCCCCAACATTCCCTACCTCAGTGAGGACATGGCCTTCACAATGGGAGCAAAAGACACAGGTGTTGCCAGCATGGAGTCCAGAAATGAGCCCAGGATCCAGTCAAGGGCCTGCACAGCCAAGAGCCTTGGGATCTACATGTAAGATGTGCCCCTAACACCTCCCATAGGGCTCGGGTGGCAATGATACCCTGTAATGAGTTTGAAAGTGAAGTGTGTTCCCTAAAGGTGTTAGACATGTTACTGTGCTGCAGGCAGTCATCCTTGGAAGCTTTTCTGAAGAGGTGGGACTTGGGCTGAGAATGAAGAGAGTGGGAGAGGAAACAAAGGAATGTCTGCAGGGCCAAAGCAGCAAAGCTGGCCAAGGGGTCCCTGCTGCAAGGCTCCTGGGAGCCGGGGCCTCATACTAGTCCTTCATTCTTCCAGCGGGAATTTATGTGGCAGCTAAATGAGCGGAACTCTGGAGAGGCCTGACAAAGCTCCTTGCCTATGGAGAAGGGCCCTCTATCCACTAAAGTTCTGGGCCCTCTATCCACTGGAGTTCTAAAGTTGGGGAGGTAGAAAGAGGTCAGTAAGTCCAGACAGATCTGGGAGTAGGCCTGAACCTCTGGGAGCTGTGCATTGCAGGCGAGAGCTGCAGGTGGCAGGCAGGAGGCAGGGGCAGGAGAGTGGGAAGGGAGAGGCCCAGGCCATGGCCACTTTCAGGTTCCAACTTACAGCGTGTGCAGCTTAGGCAGGTACTGGAATGCTGACCTTCCCACAAACTGGATCGGATTATCGTAAAAGTGTCTAGAAGAAAAGACCCAAACACCCAACCACCTTCCTCAGTTGGGCCCTTTATGTTGGGCCCAAGGCAGAGCTCTGCTTTCCTCTCCTGTCTGCGGAGAGCAGCCCCCACCCCCCAACATAGATCAGCCCCAGAGCAGAGAGGCAAGTACTCACATTGTCTGCAGCAGGGGATTGCCCATGAAGGCCTTTTCCGGGATGGCTTTGATGTTGTTGTTATGGAAGCCCCTGCAAGACAATGCCAGTAGATACTGAGGACTTGGGGACAAGTGTGAGGAGTGAGATGTGGAATTCCACGATGTGGGTGGACAGCCAACTGGAAAGGCCAGAGCACCAGCCAACTGGAAAGGCCAGAGCACCAGAGGGACATCAGCCCAGAGAGTCCAGGTTCAAGTCCTGTCTGTGAATTTTCTTCTTCATCCACTCTCACATCCATCCTTTCCCCCAACGAGCGTGAAGGGAGTGTGGGCCGCAGGCTGCCTGGAGGGCAACTTAGGAAAGAAAGAGGCTGAGCTCAGAACCCAAGAGGAGAATCTTCTCCTTAGTCACTGTGTGGTGGGGACTTGGAGGGCCCGGAGGAGGGAGCCGAGGGTGAGTGGGAGAAGGAGGGCGTGGAGAAACCAGCACTTCCATGGGTGTGAGTATGAAGGATATTCCCCAAAAGAGTCTGTTTTGACCTCAAGGCCCTGAAATGAAAGTAGCTCAGTGGCAGAGCCGGGATAAGAGGCAGGGTTGGCTGCTGTGAGACCGTGATGGCATTATGGGAAAATGAGGAAGGAGCCACCCAGCAGAGAGTCTGAGGGCCTGGGAACTGGGATTCCACGTTTGGATCGGGAATTGGGGAGAACATCTCAAAATAAATGTTGGACTAAAAAGAAGTAACCCAGGCTGAGCAAGACCTTGTCAGTCTTCCTCTGGATTCTCTGTGCTGTTCCTGCCTCAGTTTCCTCTCTTCTTGCTGTCCTTCCCTCGCCCTCGACCATCAATTGTGTCTCACTCACAGGCGCACCCTCAGACATCCTGCCTGGGCCTGTTTGCTCATTCGTTCATTAACCCACTCATTATATATTTTTGAAGACAACCTTCTTGTCTAGTGGGCCGAGGGGTTTAGAGATTTGGGAGACAGAGGCCCTGTCCTCAAGCAGCTTTCTGCTTATAGAGGGAGAGAGGAGAGAGGCACACACTCCTATATGTGTCTTCTTGCTTCTGATAACTTAGATCTCTGCTCTCTCCCTTAACACTTTTTTATTTCCTGATCTTATGCCTTTGCACACTCTGATTCATCAGTCTCATCTTCCTTTTATGTTCCAGCTCAAAGGAAAAGGCAGACCTTGGTGACTCATTGGCATAGGGAATCCCAATAGTTTTGCATTCAGATTCTTGCCACCAGCTGGTCCAGCTGCTCCTCATGACATTACACCTTGAAATTTCCGGACGAGGTGGAGGAGGAGGCACAGGGCTGGCACTAAAGGCCTTGAGAGGTAGTTTGAGTAAACTGCTGTGCTATGTGAAAGTTTGGGGCTCTGCTTATGCATCTTCAGGGTCCCCTGATCTGGTTCCAGATCTTTCTCTTTCTCTTTCCCCAGAGTTTGTCCTCCAGGAAGGCTGGTCTCCCTCCTGTGAACATCTCTGTGCATTCAACTACTGATGTGGATCTTTACCTACAAGTTCTTCTGTCTGAAATGCTTCCTCTCTTCCTCCGTCATTTCCACTTAAATCCCATCCATCCTCTAAGGCTAATCTCAGGATGCCTGGGTCCACAATACTTCCTACTTTACTCTGAACTCCCATGATCACTTTAGCTAATGCTATGCAATTTAGGGTTGGAATTACATACTGACCCTATTCCCTGCTTTGTCCTGTTCCCTTCTTTACATGTGCTACTCCATGTCCTCCGTGGGCATGAGGAGTCCTGGTGGATGGCCCTTTCTACCCATGTTTGTGTTTAATAGCAGGCACAGTGTTAGGCTCAGTGAATACAACATGAAATGATAATAATGGCAGCTGTGGGGAACTACAGCCAGCTTCCCTTTTCCTCCGCCAAGACAAAATGCTGAGGAGAGACCCATAAACAAGTCCCAAGCTCTTCTCCACACTGGTCTCCAGACACACCCCAACCCAGACAGAGGCAATGCGTGCCCTGGCCTAATAGCAGGAGGCTTGTGCCCTGTGTCTCCTCAGGCTGGAAGCGCCGGGGGCCATGACTGCTGATGACACACCCCTCGGAAATGCTCAAAGCCAAGCTAATGAGGCCTGCAACTACTTAAACCTGCGCAGGGGTCGGGGAGGGCATGTAGCTACAGCTTTTACAAGGACCACGGGAGATGAGGGTGTGAGGGAGGCTTGGGGCTCTCCTCGGCCTGGCCCCCGGAGAAGAGGGCCCAGAAACCGGCAGAGGAGCTTACAATTCCTGCAGTCTGCCCAGGGTCCGGATGGCGATGGGGAACTCCTGCAGCTCATTATAATTCAGGTCTCTGAAATGGAAAGCAGAGCAGTCATTAAGGGGTGGCTCGGCAGGGCATGTCAGGGTCCCTGAGAAATGGAAACTTGGCTCTGGTGTTGGCCAGAGAGATGGGTTTTCCAATCGGTTGGATCCAGCTGTCAATGCCTGGAAACACATTTTTGGAATGTTCACATTCCATTCCTTCTCCACAAATCCTCAGGCTCGGAGCCCTCCTGGCAGCAGAACTGTTTTGAGGGGACACTTAAGGATGTGGCTACCTGGAACCAATCCTTCAGAATCATCCCCACCGGCCGAGGAAAATATCTTTAAGACTTCAGTGGCTGGGAAGGGGGTAGAGGGAATACAGGGCCATCTTTAACATCTTGTCACCAGCACTCAGGATTCTGGAAATTTCCCTCAGGTGAAGACCTTGACTATCTCTGCTCTTGGCCAAAGGTGGCCACGGGACAGCTAGTTTTTATTTCCTCTTACCCTTTTCTGTACTTTCCAATTTTTTTTCAATGAACATATAACCATACAGTCAGAAAACAATGGAGGTAGTTTTTCAAAGGGGCAGCGACCTAAGTTGGCAAGGATGTAAGGAAACAAGCATTTCAGTGAATCAGAAATAGGAATTTAAATGTGTACAAACTTTTAGAGGTAATTTGACAGTATCCAGATTTGTTCCAACCCTAGTAGATACTACTGTGCTCGGTTAATAAAACAGTGCTGTTAAAATTTTTTTTAAAAGACACTATCTTCAAATTAAAAGAGGCGGACCCATCCTCTCGAGGCCCACAGGGTAGTCTGCACCGGATGTAAAGGCTTTGGCATAAGAGGGCTCATCTCCACACTGCCTGGGCCCTGGGGACAAGGGCCGGCCTACGAGTGACCCGGCCTCACTCCTCCCACCCGAAGGGGTCCCCTGTGTTTGCACCCTTTGTGGCAACAGCAGAGTAAAGGGAGGGAGGAGAAATGAAAAGAGTCCAAAGGCAGGAGAGCCCTCGGGAGCTTGTGTTTTGAGGGAGGCAGTAAAGAGCGTGTGGACTTTCTGTTTACTTGGCAGTAAACAAAGTCAGAGTCACAGGACTTCTGGAAGTTTGCTCTTTGTTGTGGGACAGGGTCCCCTCCCTACCACCTCTATGGGAGACTTCTCGAGAAAACCCTCACTCCTTTAAGTTTGGTGGTGTTTGCCTCAGGAGCCTATGACTTACCCTGATGTGGAAATGTGCCCGATTTGGGGAAGGGGAAGTTGACTGGGTGCTCCCAGAATTCCGTAGCCAAGGCACACTCTCAGGTTTTGGCACCGTGGAGGGCTCAGGTACAGGGTCCCTCGTGAACCCCTAACCCCAAGTTGACCCCAGCCCATCCTCTCAGTCTTGTAAACCCCCATCCTGACAGCTTTCCTGAGAGGACTGTCTGGTGCCAGAGCAGGGGGCCATGCAGAGGCCCTTGCATCACAGAGCGACCTGGCATGGCTTGTGTGTAAACACCAGGGGAACACGGAGATAATGACAGGCTCTTCTGCATGACAGGGTCATTACACTTAATAGTGCCCAGGTAGAGACAGGAAGCAGCCCAGAAGGTTCCTGGGGCCAGAAGAGCAGTGACAAGCGTCTGGCAAGCAGTGAGCCGAGTAATTGTCCCCTCCCCCAACACACACACACACACAAATTACCCGATTACCCGCAGACTCCCCTGGTGATCTTGGGTAATTATAGCATAAACCACCCTGCTCTGCTCTGCTATGTTCTCTAGTGAATCAGACACCTTTCCTGAATACGTCCCGGAGAGGCTCCCACAGGCTGTGTGACGGGTAGGAGGAGAACATGCTGAGGGGAGGGTTGTGCAAAGCACTTTCACTGAAACTGGGGGTACTGGAGTCAGAAACAGAGTTTCAATTCCTGAATTTCTATCACGGTTGGAGGAGATGCCTAGAAAATCAGGCTGGGGGGCTGGACTTGGAGCAGCAGGGGGGGACGCACAGGGACTGTGGTCTCAGCATAAGTGAGTCACCCTCACATTTCAAGGTCACCAATCAAGGATTCCCCCTTTGATTTGGCTCAGCCCACTTAGGAATTCTCTACTGATTTCCCATAAGTAACAGGAAATCATCTTCACTGAAATCTTCAACACAAAGAATTGCTTTGGTCTCAGAGTTGTTGCTCACGATTCCATCTGCATGGAATACTCCAGATATTTGCCTGGTTTACTTCACTTTGGTCAGGTCTCTGCCCAGATAATGCCTCATCAGAGGGGCCTTCTGTGACCATTTTGTTTAAAACAGCATACCCTGCCATTCACTGTTCCTTTACCCCGTGTGGCAGATTAAATGGCCACGAGGCTAACATTTTGCAATATCTAAGACTATCAAGCCAACACATTGTGTGTCCTAAACCTTACATAACGTTGTATGTCAATTCTATCTCAATAAAGCTGGAGGGAAAAAGAAATAACCCTAAGTCCTTTGCGGTGTCTATCCAGAGGCGGACTCTATGGCTCCCTGAGACTGGGCTGGCCTCATGACAGGCACTGACCAATACGAGGTGGAAGTGACCCGGTGTGACCTGGTCCTAAGTCACAAGAGGCCTCACTGTCTCTGCCAGTGGGGTGCTCCCACTCCCTTGTGAGGAAGCTTCCTCTGGATTCGACAGCCAGCACTGAGGCCCCAGGCATGTGAGGGCAGCACTTAGGACCCCATGGGCCTCAGGGAGTCTCCCCCCACCCACCCTCACCAATGACTGCAGTCCCATGAGTAAGCCTAGCAGAAGGGTTGCCCAGCTGTGCCCAGCCAACTCCAGGTCAACGAGAAATCATAAATTGTTGCTTGAAATCATTAAGTTTTGGGGTGATTTGTTATCTAGCAGTAGAAACATGCCCCGATATCTCTTTCTTCATAAAATTTACAGCCATCTGACATATTTTTGTTGATTTCTTCCCACTCTACCACAATGAAAGTGCCTGGAAAACGGGGGCTTATTTTCATATTCTACACATCAGAAGAACACTGCAGAGCAGGCATCCCACAAATACTTGTTGAATGAATAAATGAAAAGGTTGGATAAAGAGATTAACAAAAATCACTAATGGGCTCTTCAAGGCATGTAGGGTATTGGGGGGAATATTTTGAAGATTTGAGGTTGGTGTCCAAAAAGGTAAAAGTCCTGAGTGGCACCATTAGGCTGGCCTAGGGCCACAGAGACATGGGTCCCCTGGGACTTTGCTATCATTGAGCCTTTACAGTTCACTGGACCCAGGTCCAGGCGGCCAAATTGAATGGTTCCAGCCCTCCTTGGCTGTTTCTGGTCAGGAATTTTGCCAGGAATGGCCTAACAGACAGTGGGAAAAGACATGTGGGAAAAGGCATATGAACTAAAAGGCTATTTTTGTCAAGAAATGTGGGAGAATGATAAAAACTGTGCAAATGTCAAAAGATATTTGGCCTGAACTTTCCCATTGGACATCAACACAGATTCAATGGCCTGGATAACCACCAGTGCCCGGTTTCATCTGGGGCTGTGCAGAAGTAACCTCTGGCTCTAAGTGTCCAGGAAGGAGTCTGGGCAACTCTCTCTGTCCCTGGTGAGCTCAGTTCAGTGCAATGGACACTGCTGGATGCCTGCCCAAAGTACATGGAGAATTCTGCTGGGTAAAGGGGAAAGTTGGAAGACAGGTAAGAAGCAGACCTGTCGAAGAATTTGCTCGCCAAGTGAGTGGACTTGGCGTGATGTGAGCACACAAAGCATCAAACCTCCAGAGACTGGGGATGTGGTTTTTGAACCAGGTCTCGATGGCTGAGCAGCATCTCGGTAGGCAGAGAAGGAAGAAAAGGGGAGATGGAACAGAGGTTTATAGGAGGTCTGTGCTGTGACATTTGAAGAATGAGTGATACAATTTGCTGGAATAAAGGGCAATATTTGGAGGTGAGGCTGGAGGGGTGTCTCCTCTGGACTATTGCACACTTTCCTAGCTGGAGTCCCTGCCTGCAGGCCAGCCCTGGGGTAAACTTGGGGAGCTCTGATGACAAGCCAGGGACTAGTGCTGTGCTGATGATCACGTCACCCTCTCACAGAGGTAGATTCTATGACTGTATCCACTTCACAGTTGAGGAAAGTGAGACACAGAGATGTTAAGATGCACAGTTATATCCAGTTAGTAAGTGGCTGCTGCAGAGACCGTTACTTGTCCTCAAACCCCACCCTCAACGTTCTCTACAGTTGAACTCCCCAACACCATGGCCACTACCTATGTGTGGCTAGTTAAATGCAGATTAATTACAATTTGATAAAATTACAAGTTCAGCTCTCTCTTGCACTAGCCACACCTCAAGCACTCCATAGCAACACATGGTAGCGGTTACCATATAATACAGACTTATATTTCCATCGTTGCAGAAAGTTCTGTTGGACAGCTCTATCCTGTTGCCATAGGAGAATAGCCAGGGATGTAGCTAGAGTGTATTTCCCTGCCCCTTGCAGGAGGTATGGCTATACCCTAGATTCTCAACAAAGGAAGGTAGAAGCAGTCCAAACTACATGTAGTCCAGGGTCTATAAAATAGCCAAGCCGGTCTCCTCCATGGTCTGTCTACCCTCCCACCAGCTAGATGCCAAAGATGATGAGGCTGTGAGGATGGCAAGATCCCAAGAAGCCAGGTCCCTGAGTCACCACATGGAGGAGGGCCACCTGCCAAGAAGAAACACCCTCCTTGGACTATTGTATGATCCAGAAATAAACTCCTGTTGTGTTTGAGCCGTTATACATGTTTTGGCTTATTTGGTACAGCAATTTAGTTTACCTTAACTAATTCAGTGTCATGGCCAGGATTTGAACCCTGGCAGTTTGAGTCTGGAGCCCACACTCTTAGCCACTGCACACTGCCAGAAAGATCTTTTTAAAACGCAAAGTTGACTCGGTCACTCTCCGACTGAAAAATCTGAAAAGACCTCTTCATTATTTACAGAACAGACTACACATTCCCTGATGGGCTCTGATGCCTTAGGAAATCTTTCAGTTTCATCTGCCATTTCAA